TGGTTACACTGGTTACGCTGGTTACGCTGGTTACGCTGCTTACGCTGATTACGGTGTAGACGGTGTAAACGGTGTAAACGGTTGGACGGTGTAAACGGTGTAAACGGTGTAAACGGTGTAGACGGTGTAGACGGTGTAAACAGTGTAGACGGTGTAAACGGTGTAGACGGTGTAGACGGTGTAAACGGTGTAAACGGTGTAGACGGTGAACACGGTGTAGACGGTGTAGACGGTGTAGAAGGTGTACACGGTGTAAACGGTGTAGACGGTGTAAACGGTATAGACGGTGTAAACGGTGTAGACGGTGTAAACGGTGTAGACCGTGTAAACGGTGTAAACGGTGTAGACGGTGTAAACGGTGTAAACGGTGTAAACGGTGTAGACGGTGTAAACGGTGTAAGCGGTGTAGACGGTGTAAATGGTGTAAACGGTGTAAACGGTGTAGACGGTGTAAACGGTGTACCGAAAAATCGTGGACACTGATTGCGCCAGCAATGAAACCGGAACCGAGCTACGATGCCCCTACATAGGGAAAGCGACATGCAAGTCTGCAACAGTGGAGAAAGATTTGAAGAACACAACTGTGGCATATTGTGGCGCCTGCTGCATGTTTTCTGAACCCTTCTTGGCATCCTTCAACTCAGTATCAAAGCAACTTAATCGTTGGCGAACTTCGGTGATGACCTGCACAAAAGGCAGCCAAATTGGCAGCCAAAATGTGCCATCATGGACTTTTAATGAGCCGAAAAGTAAGCCTGATGCAACTCTCTGGTACTCTTCATGATGTTCCTTGCATCTTCATCTGTGCGAGCCGTCTTCTGCTTCACTTCTCTTAGTGCCTCTTGCAAAACGAGACTCAGACTCCAAACAAAAGCCATATAGTGTCTGCGTAAAGCTTTAGTGACAGGAGGGCAAACAGAGCACACGGAATGTTCAAACCTGAAATCATAGCTCTGATCTACATGTCAATGGCCTTCTGCATGTCTTCTACATCTTTTCTGGTTTCCTTCAGCTCATTGTCAAAGGAACTTGCTCGATGCCCAACGTCAGCAAGTTCCTGCAGAAACATGTCTTTGACATCAAAGCAACAGAAATACAACCAACATTGCACTCAGCGGACACCCAAGTCAGAAAAAGGGCACACAGTTCTCGGACAAAACGGCCTGCTGCAAATCTGCTGAAACAACGCTCTTTATGTCTGCAGTGTTTTTTGACTCGCGCAGCTCTTTCAATGCCTGACAAACGCCGTCCGAAATGGACGGGAACATATCCGAGCACAGCTTGTCAGAAATCATCAGAATAGACAAGACACCCACAAGGACCGGTGGGCATCAAAGGAATTTGCGCTTCTAGATGGCGGCAAGAATACGGTGTTCGAGCAAGCAAAGAGCAAACCCACCAGCACATATATAGAGTCCAGTCTGCTTCACAGCTTCGTATTATACTGTATATATTTTATAGACACCTGGCGCGTACATCACCTTGGCCAACAACAGTGGCAAAACCCAAATCTACAAAGGTTGCTTGAAACAAACAATTGGAAAATCACAGAAACCGCACCCAAATGACAGAACAACAATCCTAAATGAACAAACCCACACAAATACATATGTCACACACAAAACATATCAAAACAGCACGCCTAATGTAACCTGTCAAAATGCACTGACTGCAATAAATAACATCAGAAACACTGAAACAAAAACACAGTTCAATAGACCCGCAAAATCACAAATGCCACTACATACGGAAAGCATGTCTACAATGGTGGAGAACGATGTGAGGAACACAATTGTGGCGCCTGCTGCATGTTTTCTGAACCCCTCTTGGCATCCTTCAACTCAGTATCAAAGCAACTTAATCGTTGGCGAACTTCAGTGATGACCTGCACAACAGTCAACAAAGTTGGCAGCCAAAGACTGCCATCATGGATTTGTTGATGAGTCCAAAAGTATGCCTGATGCAACTCTCTGGTACTCTTCACGATGTTCTTTGCATCTTCATCTGTGCGAGCCGTCTTCTCCGTCACTTCTCTTAGTGCCTCTTGCAAAACAAGGCTCGAAACAAAGTGTAAGAACACCAAATCTAACCCAAAAGCATCCACAGTGCTGTATTATATACACGTGAATATGGCCTTCTGCATGTCTTCTACATCTTTTCTGGTTTCCTTCAGCTCATTGTCAAAGGAACTTGTTCGATGCCCAATGTCAGCAAGTTCCTGCAGAAACATGTCTTTGACATCAAAGCAACAGAAATACAGCCAACATTGCACTCAGCGGACACGCAAGTCAAACAAAGGGCACACAGTTCTCGGACAAAACGGCCTGCTGCAAATCTGCTGAAACAACGCTCTTTATGTCTGCAGTGTTTTTTGACTCGCGCAGCTCTTTCAATGCCTGACAAACGCCGTCCGAAATGGACGGGAACATATCCGAGCACAGCTTGTCAGAAATCATCAGAATAGACAAGACACCCACAAGGACCGGTGGGCATCAAAGGAATTTGCGTTTCTTCTAGATGGCGGCAAGAATACGGTGTTCGAGCAAGCAAAGAGCAAACCCACCAGCACAGATGTAGAGTCCACAGTGATTGCATAAGTCTGCTTCACAGCTTTGTACAATACATTTTTTTAATATATATATATGTGTATACAGTTGACACCTGACGCGCACGCTACCTCTGCCAACAGCAGTATAAGCAAAAACCCAAATCCACAAATGTTGCATGAAACAAATACGAGAAACCGAACAAGGATGACAGAACAACAAACCTTAAAAGGTACAAAGATGGGCCCCCCTAGTTGGAGAACTTGTAAAGCGCCGTAACATATGTTATAACATGGGTTAACTGATGTTGTAAGCTGGTCTAAGATTGTGAAGTGTTCTAAGTTCTTGGTGGTATTTACGTTGCAGTTACAAAATTACTTTCGATATATATATATATATAAGTAAGTTATCCTAGTTTATGTTGGAGGGTGCTAAATTAGTGCTAAATCACTTACAACTTACTTAGGGAACTTAGGTTTTTGCATTGAAAAAACTATGTTTTTTGTGGACGGGTTTGCAGAGAAGCGTTTTTCAATGTTTTTTGGTGTACTCTTCTTTTTTGTGTAGAACTGAGACTGATTAGCAAATCTTTGTATTTTGTGTTGTTTTGGAAACATTTTTCTGTTTTTATGGGCGCGATTGTTTTTTTATGTTTTAGTCGTGAAAAATTTGTGGGGTGGTGGTCCACCCGTACGACAGAGTAGTACTTTGCACACAGAAACACATAAATATGCAACACGCACACGTAGTAGAATATAGTGTAACGAATCCATTATGTAGGCCATGGAACAACTAGAAGCCATTAAGCTGGATCACGCCCCAAAATTGAGGAGTAGATCCTTGCCTCCGTGACGCATCACAAGACACACACACACAGTCCCTCAAAAGATCTGATGTAACCTGATGAACAAGAGGCTATATGTACAGTAGATGTACGGGAATGTACGGTAATGTACGGTAGATGTACGGTACATCTACCGTACATCTACCGTACATTACCGTACATTCCCGTACATCTACCTTACATTACCGTACATCTACCGTACATTACCGTACATTACCGTACATCTACTGTACATCTAGCCTCTTGTTCATCAGGGTGCACCGCGTTTTTTGGGCACCGGCCACAACTTTTTGGACGGACCACCGCGATCAAAATTTTTGGACGGACCACCGCCATCAACTTTTTTGGACGGACCACCGCCTTCAATTTTTTGGACGGACCATCGCCTTCAATTTTTTGGACGGACCACCGCCCAGCGTGTTCCTAACACACAGATGTAGGTCATTGTGTGTGTTCTGTTTTTCTTACGCGCTTTGATGGTTTAAAGTAGAAAGTGTTTTTCTTTTAGCGCGGTGGTGGTCCACCGAAGAAATTCGAAGCGCATTTTTTGCTTTTTTTGTTTTGCTTTTTGCTTTTCTTCAGCAAAGCGGCGCGGTGAGTGTTCTACATTAAAAACCCTTGCAACAGCAGCGCTTTCCCAGGTAAAAAGCATAGTTTTTCGATGTCCTTCGGTTTGGGCCTTGCTACTGGGAAACCTGAAAAAACATAGTTTTTGAACATCAAAAATCACCAATTAGAACTTATAGAACTTAAAAATAGTTACATTTAAGTTACATCTTACTTACGAAGCCCTCCGGCTAACTTAGTTTTAAGTAATTTGTAACTTCACCAAGTAAGTTACAAGTGTTTTAACTAGGGGGGCCCATCTTTGTATGCAACACACATGCACACATACACATACACATACATATACATACATAACATTACATTACATCACATTGCATTACATACCATTACATTACACTCGAAAGTGACAGCGACGCCCCTCTTCTTACACTCGAGCCCCACAGCTTAGGACCGCGACCGCCCGTCCGTCATGTGACCGGTTCCACACACACCCCTTACGGTGTCGGACGGGCGGCGCGATGCTGCTGTACGTAGCGCTTTTTGCGCTCAGCGGCTTCGTGCCGCAAACGCCTGGCCTCCGCTGTGTCGACCAGGCTCCATCGCCCTTCGCCCAGCACCTGTAGGTCACTCCACTTGGTCAAGCCGTCGCTGATCATCTCCTTGCCGGGCATCCACCGCACATAGTTGGCGGCCCCTTCCTCCACCAGGGCCTCCCTGAGGACCGCCGCATCGATCTGGATCTTGCGGTCGCTGGTCATGCTCTCGGAGGAGAGGACGTCGTAGCCTGTCTTCGCATCGATCACGAGGTAGTGCTTCCAGCGGCTGGCATGCCATTTCCACCTCGGGAGGTCGAAGTCCTGGTGCAACATCTCCCCAAGGACGCACGGATGAAGTCCCCGTGCTCAAAGCTCTCTGCCGCCATCGAAAGCTCGGCGCTCATTGCACCACCCGCTGGATCTTCATGCTCTGCGCCTCTAAGATGTTGACCGGCGCCTTCTTCTCCAAGATGTCCGGGTGTGCGATCATGCACACCACACCTCCCTGCGAGTGGCCCTTGGGCTGAGCCGCAAATGCGGCATCACTGGCTGAGATCACCACGGCCTCCATCAGGTCGCAGTCCAGCTTGGGAACCTTGATGACCACGTCCTTCTGGGCCTTCTTGATCAGCTTGGCCGTCCACTCCATTGCTTCTCTCCTGCCAGAAGCGACCAGTTGTTGGCAATGGGACACGCCGTAGCTCAAGTCGTATCGCCCCTGGCGAGCCGCCGACATTCACAAAGAGGCTGCGATATATGTTCAAGCCCTTCAAGGGCACTGTTCTTGAATCCCGCCTTCTGCCAGGAAATTTCCGCCGTTTTCCCGGGTATTTCCGCCGTTTTCCCGGGTATTTCCGCCTCTTTCCCGGGTATTTCCGCCTCTTTCCCGGGCATTTTCGCGCCAGGTGTTTTCAACTTTGGACTGGTTTTACTGCTCGTGTGCTCATTCCGCACAAGAAACCTTCAAAAACAAAGACATGGTAGCCAGATTTGCAGGTGGAGGTGGAAACTTAGGCGCCGCCATCTTTTTGTATCATTGAGGTGACCATTCCAGGCAGAAATGCCCAATGCACATGCAAACCACCAAAAAGATTCAACTGTTCTATATAGAATATATGTAGTCTCTCACTAGATTCCTGAAAGGGAAAATTTGCGGCAACAAAAACATTTCCGCGGCAAAAAGTTGGTTTCCGCCCCAGGACGGGGAGAGCCGCTCTTCCCGAAAAAGGCAAGAATTTCTGCCGAAAGGATCTTCTAGGTATTATATTACATACTATCAGAACATACCATAGCATACCGTTCCAAAATATTCCATACCATACCATGCATACCATACATACCATATGTGCCATAGATACCATACATGCCATACTTACCTACCATACATACGTACATAATTACACACATTACATACATTACAAACATTCATTTTTTCATTAATTCATACGTACGTACATACATACAGTCATACATACATACATACATACATACATACATACATACATACATACATACATACATACATACATACATACATACAAAACATCACACAACATGCAACATGTCAAAATAGACTCTAATAAATAACATCACAAACACTGCAAAACGAACACAGTTCAATAGACCCGCAAAATCATAGATGCGACATGCGGAAAGCAACTTTCATGTTTACAATGGTGGATAACAATGTGAGGAGCACAATTGTGGCGCCTGCTGCATGTTTTCTGAACCCTTCTTGGCATCCTTCAACTCAGTATCAATGCAACTTAATCGTTGGCGAACTTCAGTGATGACCTGCACAAAAGTGAGCAAAATTGGCAGCCAAAATGTGCCATCATAGACTTTTAATGAGCAGAAAAGTAAGCCTGATGCAACTCTCTGGTACTCTTCACGATGTTCCTTGCATCTTCATCTGTGCGAGCCGTCTTCTCCGTCACTTCTCTTAGTGCCTCTTGCAAAACGAGACTCCAAACAACGCCTGAGAAAACCAAATCTAACCCAAAAGCATCCACAGTGCTGTATTGTATACACGTGAATATGGCCTTCTGCATGTCTTCTACATCTTTTCTCGTTTCCTTCAGCTCATTGTCAAAGGAACTTGTTCGATGCCCAACGTCAGCCAGTTCCTGCAGAAACATGGCATTGACATCGAAACGTGAGAATGGCTTTGCACTCAATGCACCTGTTCAGGTTCAGTACAAACACATTGAGTCGGAGGTCGAGGACATGCAAAAGCGAAAGAAGATCCACGGTCTCCAAATCAAACGTCGGCCTGCAAGTCTTCTGCAGGTACAAGGCACTTCTTTTCAATCTGTTGGAAGTAAGATGGGTCATTTAATCTGTGGGAAACAACACCAACACGAAGACAACGTTAATACAGGGCAAGTTCCCGAACATGAAGCCATTAGGATATCCAGCTTCAGGTCAAGTTCATTTTTACAAGGATCCAGCACAAAGCACAACTCCACATCCAGTTCTCCTGCTGTATCTCTTCTGCACCTCTCTTGGTGTCTTTCAGCGCATCGAATTCGCTCAAAACTTGTCGTCGAAGTCCCGTGATGACCTGCAGCGGCAGTGTTCGACGCCGAGCACTGAGTTCGGAGCACAGCCATCGTGGAGAACCTCTCTTTGCGTCCCAAGAAATTTGACCTCTCTGCAGGTCAAGGGGTGCATCGTTTTGAAAGGTGCTTAAAAAGAATCTGCCGTCATAAATGCTTATTATACAATTTCAGTTATATTTACACCTTTTGAGAGAACAGGAACAACGCCCGAAGTACTAAGTATACCTTACCCCAAGAAATTACCAACAAAGGCATGTGTTTGGAGCCCGAATAGGCCCGGTCTAGGGAAGGAATGGGAGCACAGGGCGCAAAAAACAAACAACGGAACTGGGCCCCTCTACAGAAGCACATCACATCAACTGCCGATGCCAACAACGTGGGAGGAACCCGCTAGTGAACAAATGATTTATACTTATAATGCATTGATCATTGGGTATACAGTATCTCCCATTACCAGGGGGCAGTGAATGATGGTTCGTAAAAATATTTCCTCCGAATAAGTGACCTGACTAGTACATATGCCATTTTTCCGACTGTCACAAATGAAAACTGGTACACACTCACACACACCTACATTGATCATATGGGAGTGTAGCTCAGGCCTAGGAAGACCGACACCTAGGCCTGGCCGTTCCGGCGTTCCCACTTCCTGGGTTCGCGTTCGACGGACAAATACACCAGTCTACCCAGCTGCGATCTTCCGGGTCTCCAAATCCACCTTCCCTCCCAGGACCCTCCAACAAGTCTCCCTAAACAAAAGTTCTTTTGGAGACTTGAAAGGTCTCAGGTGGTGACCTGGCAGGTTTCGGGTGCTTTCGGGCGACCTGGCAGCTCCAAGAGATGCTCCTACATCATCCTACACCCGGGGTGCGTTTGGGATGAAGGCGCAGTCGAGCGCCGCATCCAAACACCTGGAGACCGAGCAGTTGACCTGTTGGTCGTTCGTTCTACGGTGGACTGGCCGGGCTCCAGGTTTTGACCCATCCCCGTGCAGTCTTCGAGGATAAAGCAGAAAAGGAGATAAGCGCAGGCTGTTCACATGGTTTCCAGCACAGTTCTGTCTGGTTCTGTATGGTTCTGTGGTTTGGTGCTTTAAGACCAAACCCACCCACCAAATCATCCAAGGCCCCGACATACAAGTGACACAATGGAAACATCAAAACATGCAGTTTGCAAGTGATCTCGTATGCACATGTTTGAATTGACCTTGTGCTCGAGAACAGTTGAACATCCGCAACCCACTGTACGTGCAACCAAGAGTAGCCATCAACAGTGATCAGAAACAAGCATCGACATGGAAGTCGGTGCAATTCGCCTGGTGTAATTCTCTTGTGTTCTTGGCCATGTCTTTTGCATCTTCATCAGTGCGACTCGCCTTTTGTTGGACTTCTTTCAATGCCTTGCATGCCGCGAAACAAAAAAAAAGGTCTCTGGATTAATCCTGCTCCCAGGACCAGTGCATAGATGGTGACCATGGGTGGTGATAGTGACAATGAGGATGCTTGCTGAGGGCAGGGGCCTCCATCCAAATAGAGATCATGTTCAACTGAACACAAAAGAGAATCGGCAAACATTCAGTGTATCGACCGAAGTTGGACCACTCAACCTGTCTGTTTCGTCCATGTTCGTAAACCTGTCATCCAGGTCAGAAGTTGCACACCTCGAGCACGCAGAAGCGCATCAAACCGGCACGCCATTTAGCGCATGCAAACTGCGCGTTTTTGGTGCGCCAAGCGCACGCAGCGTTTGCTGTGCTATCTATGTTGAGGGCCCCGTACCCGTCCCGATGATGCTTTCACTAGCGACTTGCGTGAAGGCCGTCTCACCCATTTGCAAACCCAAAGTGACAACAAATCTATATACATGCCCTCCAACATTTATTGAAATGAAGCAGGTCTAGCTTCTAGGGGAACAGAGTCATCCTTGGAGCACTGTTCCACTTCTATGTTTGTTCCACCCGGGGAATCGCTTGGTACATGTCTAGCAAACAACAAGACCGGTCTAGCACAGAACAATGCACCATCGACCGGTCTTCCAAAGAACGTCGTTCTAGCTCTTAGCGGCGCTCACGGTCCCGGCGGTTGACTGGGCCTTTTCCATGTCTTCGGTGCCTAGAATTGGGCATCCTTCGTGATTCCGGGATCAAAAGCAGTGACAAAGAAAAAGAACAAACACAACAAACAAAACATGGACACCCCTTAACATACCAGGACCCACTTGTGGGGGTGGTGAATGGAATGGACACTCCGAATCACCCTGGGAGTATCAATAGAAACCCCTTAGGGGGTCCTGAGATAAGACACTAAGCTCCGGTGAAGCATACCAGGCACACGATGTCTGGCTCTTTTTCGAACAGCATTTGCGGACAGCATTCGGAGTTCGATTCTGTGCTAAATTCACCAATGGTGTTCCTCCTGTGTCTCCTAAAGTGTCTACTTCAGCATCATGCCGATCCGATTATGTGACTACAACCATTCTCAGATTCGAGTACACCCACTCCGTTCTGATCATAGATTCATAGATTTTTACGATGGCCTTTCAATATTGTTTGGTTGGGACACCCCTAAGTGAACAGCCAATCCATATGGCTCCACAATGTTCCACGTACCATCCAAGAAGGTTATTATGTAGGCTTAGAGGGACCAAGTACCTTCTTTTCCAAATATGGGAATAGTGTAGTAGACTCAAAGACTCTATGGAGAATTAAACCCATATCCTCCCTATTGTCCTTGCAGTCCTTAACCCAAAAGACTAGTAAAAGGCCATCTATGTGTTGACCTCAGGAAAAATCACACAACCCTTGCCTGCAAGTCCTCAATGCCTCGCTTGGTTTCTTCCACTTCGTTGCCCAGGAAGCTCAAGCGCTGCCGGACGTCTGCAAGAACCTGCGGTCATGATTGTTCTGTTTTCCCGTGGCGTGCACGGCAAACATCCAAAACACCACTTGGCAACCATTGGCAATCAAAGTTTCAATTTGGTCCTGCAAATTCACACTGCAGACCGTAGCCAAGTGGATCCCAGTTCATTAAACATTTAGTACTACATAAAGAAAGAGTTTCTAGGTCGGCACTCCTTGAAGCAATCATGGAAGTGGAAAAGCACTTGTGTAGAGAAAAACCATGAACAACATGTTGCCCAAATCCTTTTATATCGAAGAGACCATGGCATCCACCGACGCTGAAAAAAACGCAGAGCTGGGAGCGGGTGTTTCCCGATCCGCAGATCAGTGTAGGATCTTTCATCCCAAAAAAGGGCCACGTCCTGCAGAATTCTTCTCCGTACGACGTCGCCCGTGACGGCTCACCGTCCGACCTCGTTTCCCGCGACGGCACCGACCGCGATCGGGGGCGCCTCTGTTTCGAGCTGGTGGGTCACTTCGGTCCTCACCTGGTCACCGACAAGACTGGTCAGAGTATGTTTCGTTAGCCATCTGGTATAGCGGCATAGCGGTATAGGTCAAAAACAGTAAAGTCATGTTGTGTCATGTTATGTCATGTTGACCTTTGCGATACTTTTCATGTTAAGTAAACACATTGCAACAACGTGTTGTCTTCCGACAATACATGTCGTAAGTTTTTCTATGGGTCATTGATCAGAGTTCCAACTGTCAGGAAATAATACACCCCTCCTGGCGCATCCCAAAGACCGAAGCTAAGAGTCGGATCGGCTAGACACGCAAGACCGAACGAGTCTCTGTCGGAGCGGGTGCCAAAGAGCCCTCCGAGAAGCTGAACAAAACCGAGGAGATCCCTGGAATCTGAAGAAGGAAACAATTCCAGACTCTGATGAGCTTCACCAGAAACATATCTGTCAAATAATGTGAACGTTCATATATCTGTTCACCATGTTTTGTTTCTAAAATGATTCCCAGACCATCCATGGGAATCTTTCATGGATCCTCTGGACGGCGGACGTATCGTCTGGAAGGCACAGTTGAAGGACACAAGGCACTGGCACCAGCTGAAGTATGTCCCCAGCGCGCCCCAGGTGGGACAGTTTTTGTGGGGAAGGGACGGTTTTTGTGCAGGATCTGTGCAAGGGAGCGAGAATGTATCATACTACAGTAATTCGTCTTCGAACATCAACACGTCTTGGTTTGTGGTCTGAAAGTGGGTCTTCGCTATTTACTCCTTTGATCTCCTTTGTAGTCTACTATATCTAGACTAAGTCGAGGTGCAGTATGATGCCGTTGGAGAACTCAGACCACCCTCGCACATGGAGGTTCCTCGCCCAAACCAGCCCACCCACCTTGGGTCGCATCACATGGCTTCCTTCCCCCCCATCCAGCAAAGCTGCAACCCGATCAACCTTCTAGCTCACTGAAAGTGCATCGCGTGCGAAACCATGGAAACCATGGAATTCTTCACCTACTTCACTCTTCCATGCTGGTTGTCATCCACCATTTCCCCCTGGCCTGTTGCAAAGCTTCTGTCCCAAAGCATCGCTTCTTCAGCTCCACTTCAAAGTTTCGCATCCACTCCCTGATCTCTTCCAGTTCCTGCTCGGCTCGGCCCGGACCGGACCGGTCCATACCATCTCCCCGGCGGAGCGCCGCACCGTGAACGAATGTTTTTGGTTTTCCCTATAGGGCTCCTGGCCCACCTTCTTGAGAAGGTGGTTGGGGTGGCTGGATATGGGGGATCGAATACCACCGAAGCTGAGGATATGGGGCAGGAACCCTAGGGTTTACACAATTCCATGAACACCTCGAAGAGAAGCCTTGGATTAGGTCCAAGAGGTCCAAGAACCATGTTGGACCACTTGGGCCTTAGAATAGAAACTCCTCAGATCGACCCTTTTGGGCTTTGTGACTTGGGTCGAGCCGCAAAGCGCGCGTGCAATTCCGCCGCGGTGTCGTCCGAACCGCAGGTCTTTCGATGTCCAGCCAAGGAACCCTTTTCTATTTCGGAGATCACACGCAAAGGGGGACCAGGGTACCAAGGGGGCCATATGCTTGAACATCATGTTCCAAGTTTTGTTGCGATCCACATACCTATACTTCTCAAAGGGTACTTGGATGCTCACTATGCCTAGACATGAGGGTTGCAAACATAAAGGTGTTGAATACATCATACTCCCAGGGTCTGTGGATGCATAGAGTTTTCTTGTGCTTGGCTAGAATCGGAACTTCATCTTTGGATCCAACTACACATGCTGGACTAGCCAACAAAACACTGAAAGGAATGGTTTCTCTTGCACCAAAACTGCCAAATGCCACACAGGACCATCCCAACTAGCCTATAGGACATGACCCAAATTGAAAACAAATTCGCATTGTAAATCATTGTAAATTCCATTAAATTCCCTAAACCTCCAAGCACCTCCTCAGAAGGTATTTGGACCCTCCAAAACCATCCCGAACACCTTCTCAGAAGGTACTTGGAAATGTAGCGGGGTATGTGTCGTTTTTGTGCCAATTTTTGTGAAGTACGAACAGCTCGATCCAGGTATAGGACCAGCACATACCCATCACACCGCACCAGTCCGGGCTACACCCAACACCGCGGCAAAAGCACCAGTCCGGGTCACTGGTCACCTGTTGAAAGAAACACGAAGGCTCAAAAAGTGCTACAAGAGTTCCGGGGTTCCAAAACAAATCGCAGGGAAAGAGTAGGAACCCATTCGTTTCTGACCCATATCCGCTCGATAATTGAACGCACCCCATCCGCGCGCCGCGTCAGCCTGAGATGGGATGATGGAGGTTTTTTTGACCTCGATGGGCGGCTCTACCTGGAGAAGGGTCGAGAAGGGCAGAACTATGACTTCAGACTCGAAGCCTTTGGCTTGAACAAACAACCAAAACCCGTATGGAATGCAACTTTTGACTGTTCAACCCGGTCCTTTGCTGAACGTTTTCACCGTTTCACCTCTTTTTCGCGGCTTCGTGAGACATCCCTTCTAAACCAAACGCGAGGTTGGATCAAATCTACCACCTTCGCTGCACAACGACTAGCACCGACCGCGCCGACTGACCCAGTGGAACACCAGCCCCAAGTTCCACTTGGATTTGCTGGTCTCGAAGCCGGGAAGAAGTACGTTCATTTACGTCGAGTGATCCCCACCATGCCCGTGCCTTCCTTCGCTTCATGAACTTGAGGGCTTCAGTGGCACGATTGTCAATGTGATTTTCAGGTCGCCTGCTTCGTATGGCGTGCTTTGCTACCAAGTTGTCAATCCACCCGTCGCCTGACATGTGTGATTTGTTTTGTATAGAACTTAAGTCAATCAACGGATGGTCAAAAGAAACAGTTAGCCGGATTCAATAATCAATGGTTGCTCATCAATAATATATTCAACTTTACGCCAGCTACAGGTTTGAGACCTAAGTAGTCAGGTACGAGGCCAAATCATTGGTCATTTGTTTTTGATTTCAATACGTTTTTTATGAAACCAATTCAACCCAGTTTATGAAATCGCAAAAAATATGTCCACCCTTAAGTGGCATGGACGTGGGGGTCCCCGAATTGCATTTGTTGGACGTAGGGGGACCTTGATTGCGTGTATTCGATGGTACTTTCAACCGGTAGAATTTTTATTAACCATCTTGGTGGCATACGTGCGCGGACTCTATGGTAAAACACCGAGCCCCCAACGAACAATCGCCTGGACCCTCCCTCAATGGACAAGCACCGATATTTTTGTTACTGCCAACTGTTTTTGATTTACTTCGATTTGTGAATCCCCTCAAGCTCACCCTTTTGCTTTAGCAAAGAGAACTCAAGCGAGTTAAAAGCCACAGCCGCACTTCCGAGACCACATCCGGCAGCTACCAGGTAGGAGTCTGCTTTTTGCAAACATGTCTACAGCATGTGGGCAAAGGCTCAAGCCTGGCTGTTCAAGTCGAGAACGACAGTTAAAGAAATCAGAAGTCAGAAGTTGTCTTCCAGGATAATTCACCACAAAGAGCGCGGCATACCAAATTGATTTAGATGCCCTGGCATCCAAGTAGACACTTTTAAAATGCAATTGGAACATGCAATTTCTGACGTATCGTCCCTAGGCAACTGCATTTTTACGAGTGGGTACATATAAAAAGCATGAAAATAGATTGGCCCTGTAAACCAACAATATATTTTTTCCACACCATGGTTCGCACGTTTCATACTTTTTCACGTAAACAATCAATTTGATTGAATATTTTCTCACAATGTATGAAAATGTTATGAAAACATGTTTGTTTCAAAACTGGTTTGAAAAGTTTTCATACCACTTTAAAAAACATATATTTTCTCTGTCATGAAAAGAATGTGAACCATGGTATGGAAAATGTATGGTCGGTTCACAGGGCCAAGTTATTTTTGCCTTTTTTTACGGATTCATAAATTTGGTTGTAACGGTTTTCATTTAAACCAAAAATAAAAATATCTATGTTGAAGTGGTTTGTACCAACCTGCTGGATCTCAAAGCTACAGTGCTAGTCGAGCAACAAAAACAGACAAAATCAATGTCGTGGCACTCTGTCAATCTGTCACACATTTCTTCACTCGACTGGGAATGCACGGTTCCGATGAAAAAGCGTAGCATCTGGGGAAAGTCCGGTCGCGTACTCGAAGATCAACAGCAAGTCCTTTTAGTGGTACTCTTTGACGAAATCGTACTCACACTCCTCAGGAGCAAAATTTGAAATGTGCTTTATGTAGGTCAGCAATGCTAATGTCCTCCACGATCTGCCAACGGCGTGAGAAATTTGGAGCTGTTGCTCTGTTGGCACAGGGGTTCCTGTCAGCTCACGATGCTGCGTTGCACCCGTCACTGGCGCGCCCGCTGATGGGCGAGGACTGCCAGGCCCAGTCGACACCTAGGGCAATATCTGACTGCATCAATCACTCCAATGGTCATCAATCTCAGCATGCACCCGTTGTCACCGACACTACGAAACGACTGACGGACTAAGTTAACTTTTAACCCGGTCCAACGTCCACGAACATTGCGTGGGTTCATAGCCAAGATTGCTGCCCCAGGTGGCACACCACCTGCTCCATGACGACCAGGAACTGAGAAGGCGCCATCACTTAGTTGCTGGCGCAGCGGGAACATGCTGCTGTGAGGCATTGACCAATTGAGTCATCGGAGAAGGTGGGCCGCTCATGACTACTGCCTGAACACTGCGAATTGCAAGGAAGTCAGACAAAAACTTAAATCCTTTGGGCCTGCGGTCAATTGACATAGGCCTGGCATAGGTGGCATAAAGTTTATAAACCTCATATGTTCGATATTGCAACACATATGTTGTTGCATGTTGCTTCTTTAGCCTGTCTTTTATGCATGTTTATTCATGTATTGAATAAAATTATTGTCAACTTCTAGTCTCTGCCCGCATGTACTGACAAAGTATCGTGACAAACGTGGCCTGACATGTGTGTTGACACAATGTTCTGACGCTTGTTCTGGCATCAAGTCCGGTATGTGCTCTGGCACGTCAACTAACTACCATAAAGGCTTGGAAATGTTCTGGGCTGTGTGTATGCCGTGATTGTCTGACTTCGGTCCTGATATGTGTTGTGCAATGTATTCCGGCATTTGTTCTGCCAGCGCGGACGTTATATCTTGCAAATACCCTGGATTACAGTGGCAGTCGATCTTGTATTGTATTCATTCTTGCATTCCATCTGACATATATTCTGGCAATCTGTCTGGCATGTATTCTGGCAATCTGTCTCGAATATATTCTACCTTGCATATGGTCTGGCTTTCTTTCTGGCATAATCTGGAATATATTCTGGCATTCTATCTCTCCTATATTCTGACAATCTTTCTGGCATATATTCTGACTTTCTCTCTGGCATATACTATCTTGCATAGTCTGGCTTTCCGGCATGCGGTTGAGGTCCGGTGGTGCCCACTGGAATCCAGCACTCGCGGTTGAGGTCCAGTGGTACCCACTGCAATCTGGCCCTCGCGATTGAGGTCCAGCAATGCCCACTGCGATCTAGCGATTGAGGTCCGGCGGTGTCCACTAGGATCCAGCACTGGGGGAGGCGGAGGAGGAGGTAAAGCAGGAGGCGGGACGGGACAGCTCTGATAAAATCTACCAGCCCTCACCTGGCAGGTCCGCAAGAATACGATCCTGGAATAATCATGGAAGTGAACAATCTCCTGTTTGGTATTCCGAAAAATGCACTTCATGATTATTTCAGGGAGTGTATTCTCAGGAACAGGATTCACCCAGTTCAGGAAAGCCAGGTCTAGGCTCCGTGTTTTGGACTAACCGATGGCGCGGCGCCGGACAAACATCTGGCAGTTTGATTAGCACACAAACTGGTTGATGGCTTCAACTCATTTGAAACATGTTAAGTCTAGTGGGCAATCCCAAGCAAAGATGGAACATATCTGAAACCACCACCCCAAGCAAGCAGTTAATGAGCAGTGACATTTATTGTCTGAGATGGTGCAGGATTTGCTCCATCATCCATGAGAGGTCATATCTACGAGATTCTACGAGGGTTATTGTAGGCCTCTACCACCATATCCCATTGCTGCCAATTTCGGAAACTCAACTCCAGCTTACTACGGATCTCCAAAAGCTTTGTCTCGGTGTCCAAGGTAGTCTTCTCATTGCTTCCCACAAACTTTGTCTCTCACGCGGGCCAGGGGATGATCAAGTGAACAATTCCATGTCCACACTGCTGATGGACATCAGTCATTGGTTCAACGTGTTATGGCCTCCTTCCGGTGAGACACGATTCCAATCTCGTGGCACCGGGCACCGATAGGAGCATGATGAAACAAAGGTAACGATTGGGAAGAAACCAAACCGAATGGGTTAGTCCAAAGGTAACTCTCAAATCAAAACTGTAGTGCCCAAGAAGTTGGGAGCACGATTCCCAAACAATCCCAAAAGCCGTTTCTTCTGGTTTTCTTATCAAGATGCTTTCTTCCGCTCTTTCCATCTGTTTTCCTCCAAATGGAGGTACAGAAACCAGCCCTGTATATACCTAGCACTTCCAATATGTGTCCCATGGAGGCCTGTAAGTAAGGTAGGGTAGTCTAGGATGGATGACACAGGTGTGACCGATGACCAATGAGTGGCGATAGATAAATACTTACTTAAGGTCCCTTAAGCACACAACAATAGAACACGTTCCTTACATCGGGTTTTCTATGTCTTCCGACCTGAAAAGAGTAAGTGTCAGACTTAACAGGTATGGCTTTTAGAATTTATATAATGTTTTCTACCTTGACCTGGTGGGTCAGAAAAACGAAGAAAGGTACCCCCCAAGATTTACTTTAGAAAAATGTGTGGTGAGTTCAAAACCGGTGAGCCAAAAGTCATTTCGAGCGAGTGCTAAAAACGCCGAAAAGCTGATCGACAGGACTACCTGTGAAAAAGCGATATACCTGGAGTCGACCTGTGAGCTCGTACCTCAGAAAATGGGTACCACGTCGTACCTGTAGTGTCCTGTTTTCTTTTGAACCAGACCAAATAGAAACTCCACCTTCGCCAGTGGTTTTGGAGGTTGCATGTGAATCTCTCTTTTCAGGGTGTACCCCTTTTGTGGCCACTGTGGGTCCGCCCCATCCGACGCCGCGGTAGTCGCCGACCTCGCCGCGGTGGCTCTGAGCGCCGACGCCTGAAGCTGCGAAGGATTCGCGGCGGGGGAGTATGGGCAATGAGTATGCCCCCCAAATCAGATGCGTGGATGGCCCACAAAAAAGCAATAGGAACGTCATCTGATCTTCATATTACAGCATTGACTATATACAATACTATTTATTCTGTATAGGCATTTATAGGGCCACATTGAATAAGACCCTAGCGCTCCAGTCGTACCCTTGGACTGGGGTGGGAAGGTCCAAATACCTTCTGAGGAGGTACTTGGAGGTGTAGGGATAAGGTATGATAAGTTAAGGTATGTTAAGTTCATCACCATCATTGTGAGTTGTTATGTTCACCTTGGAGAAGTGACCAAGGCGGGCTTGTGACCACCACCAGCATCTGAAGGTAGGGACCAACCACCAGCCCCACGCACCCCAAGCACTGAAGGCCAGGAGTGTTAGGGATTTGTAAGAGATTTGCCATGCACTGGTAGTAAAACCAAACGTTCTCCCGGATCCACTTATTTTGGAATGGACTGGTAGATTCTCGCTTGTTCCCTAAGTAGCGCTGGCGCACTGCGACGGGGCTCCTGATCTGATCCATTACAGCGAGGGCAGTGGGCTCAGTTCCCCCCCGAACATGTTGACCACATGGAAAAGCATGGCTCAGTGGGCTCAGTGGGCTCTGCGTTGGCAAAAAAGTTTTTCTTTGAGCCACTTCCGTTGGCTAAAAGTACTAAGAGATGATGGTCAAGTTGCAAGGGGGTTGTAAATCGTATCACTTATCAAAAATGTTGTACCAACTTTTGGTGATGGTCATCACTGTCGCCCGTGCTTCTGGGACAGGGAGCCCTTCCACGGACCAATAATTGATCGGCGCAAACCAAAAGACTTTGACAAGGAAGCTTCATTTATAGGGGTGTATTAAGATAACGGGACTGGACCTCCAAAAGACCCACCCATTGGAAGAATGGACATTGACCCAAACTCATTGGGTTGTGGGTCTCCCTAGTAAGATACACACCGAATTGTGGTTTGTTGGTTCCCTTCCAATTCTTTTGGAAGCCGTTCCGCCAGTGGAATCTGTATCAACCCCTATCCATGATGCAATGTCTCTGTGCCTCAAGCTTGTTCCGTAATTGTTGATTGCTCGAGGATGACGATTTATAATGATGATATTGTTCTTCAAAAATAAAACCCAGCAGACTTTCCAACGTCTTCCTGGATTTGCTTAAGGAACCCAGCAAAAAAAGTATCTCCCAAAAGGAGATTTACCCAGAGGGAAAGTAACAAATCAACTTAAGTAAAACATAAAGCCAACGTCTTGTATCAGGTCCCAATAACATCCAAAGCACAGCGGTCAACGCACGTCGCATTCTTTCCGAGAGAAAAAACATGCGGTCTTTGAATTGGTCTCTGCGCAACCTGTGCTGATTGAAGTGCATTCAGAGCTCAGCGAAGAAAGACTCGGTCTCGGCGGAATGGGATTAAAATTCAAACAGACTTCGGTTTTACTTTTTGCTTCTGCAAAAAAACCAACAAACACAATGTGCATTCAAGCAAAACGCTCTTAGAACACTATTTGAATACAAACACACAACTGAAAACAATAAAAAAAATCAAAAAGTAAGAAACGTACTCAAAAATCACACTGTCTTACTCTTTGGCTTTCTTTCCTTTCAAATATGTTTTTTATTTGAACTTGTGTTTTGAGTTGGCCTTTCGGTATCTTGCTTGAGTTGAGTTTTTGCTTTGACTCTGGTTGTTTTTATTTTGAGTGTTGACTTTTGAGTGCTGAGAAGCTCATCTGGTTATTGGGGATGTAAAAAAAACAAGTAACAATAACCAGCACCCGACTCTACAGGTCACCAATTGTGTTCGGGTTAACAGCCCTCAACCATGTTGGAGGGTCCTGAAGTATGGTTGCAACCTCGGAGCCTCCGTCAGAAGAAAAACATGCCCGCGGAATCTGGTCAACCACATGAAAACAATCTACCGCTTCCGCATCACCGAAAGCTATAATTGGATTGACCTGTCCTGTCCCGTGTGCTAAACTATCCGCCCCCACCAAAAGAGTACCTACACTACAGAATTATATAAATTATATCGATTTATATACAGATTTGCTGGCAAGGAGCGCCCTGAAACGCCGCTCCAACTCGACTTATTCGCTGCGACGTCGGCTCTCACTCAGTCGCTGCTCGCATCATGCTGGCGCTCGGCGCTGGCGAGCGGTTGCGTGTCGTTCGGCTCGTTGTTTGAAGCCTCGACCTTTGGGTCTCCAACACGATCCGGTGGGACGACTGCATTCTTTTGTGCCGATATATTAATTGACATCGTTTCAAGGTATGTCAATATGCCAATCCCATCATCAGTTGTGTCTGGATATGGAATCCCCCCGACCCTCTTCTGAGAAGCTGGGACATACTCTCACAGGCAGACATTCTAGGTGTTTGAGCTTCCAACAACATGCGACATAGCTTGGCTGTCCGCAGGTCCCTTCCTGGTTCAGTCATCAGACCCCTTCTAAACAAAATGGACGACTGAAGGATACTTTCGGGGACCAGGGATACTATAATTAGGGATACTAAAGAATACGGAACGGGGTCTAAAGAGTCGAAGTGCTCCCTTGACTTTTGTAGTAGCTCCTGGCATTACTGCTAGTAACAAGAAGCTACTAGTAGCTAGAAGCTACTCGTAGGTGGAGGCCATTGCTATTAGGTTGGAGGCCATCGCTAGACTCTAGACCGAAGAATCCTTGTTTTGCTATCCCGGACGGGATCCACATACCTATAGAAGAGCTTCTCAGAAGGTAAGTGGATCCACAGGGTATAAGAATTTTAAGACTACAACGCCAAATCAACCTTTTTATATCGTAAATCGCCGAATCGAAGGATACCGCCCCTGGTTTCTTGGGTTTTCGTGGTGCCACACCCCCTTTGGGTCTCATATCCGGACCATGACAAAAAGACACATATGGCACATGGCAGTCACTGACCTATACTGCCCTTCACCCAGTCTAAGTCTAAAACCTGCTCTGTAACTTGTTGGAGATTGGACGTCCTTCACACTGACCGGTAGAGTGACCATGATAACTTGCCCTAAGACTCCTGAAACCCGACATCCTCAAAGGGTTTGACCGCCCTCCATAGTGGGGCTTTCAGAGAAACAGTAGAAGCTACCGTTTGGGAAGTCCGGGATTCCGGTAGATATATAAGCCATGAGAAACCGATCTACCATGTCTCCTCTCCGAACAAAACAAGAACGATTCCGTGCATTCCACTGTCAGAGCTCGCTTCATTTCCATCGGCATCTGGAACCAAAGGGTCATGATCCTGCAAAAAACTTGTACCAGGGACCCCGACATGACAAAACAAACAAACAAACAGGACCTTACCTGATCCGATTTGCAATGCCCACTCTGCGCTTTGAGCCCACCCTGCGCGATGTTTATACAGGTATATACAGGGCAATCCCTGCCAGCGACGTCTGAGTTGGCAAGGTTTCCAAATGAATCAAATCAATACTTTTTGGGGTTCCGCTGTCACCTTCTGAGATGTCATTGGCGATCTCTAGAAAAAGGTAAAACGTAAAGTTGGATCTGAGGATCTATGGACAGGTGATCCAGCAAAGACCCATAGAGCAAATGCTGTCCCTGTCCACAGGGTGGCGCAGTTGCTCTGTGTCCTGTTTGCGTGGTTTCAGATGTAGAACTCTAGGACATTTCATCATGTCTCGGGTGTTTTTTTATGATGGTTAGTGATCCTTCTCAGTCTAAATCAATTGGAACAAGGGCTAGGCTCTTGGAATCAGATACAGTTGAAGGAAGCAAACCCGGAAGACCACCCTTGGGTAAAGACCAAGTACAGGATATGTTGTTTGACTGCACGATGAAACAGAAGCAACATAGCCCCACTATCTCCCCCACTTGGTCAACATCGCTGCCGGGGTCTGTGCGAGAAGTTTGTCGACGGTGTCAATACTGATCCATCTTGTGGCTTGCACTCTGCAGCATCCTGTTCATCCGCTGAGTCAGTTCAATTTCATCATTGTTTCCTCATGCAACTCTAGAAGATCTATCCCTATAGGGATCCAAACAAATCAGAAAACGCTGCAAGATGAGGGTTTGGAAATAATCTACCTGGACGCTTCAAAGTACCCTAGAAAATGGGGCATAACCGAACATGTCTGACATGTACACGTTGTCTGTGGTACGAACTGAGACTCCAGATTTAAGCACCCCTTCCAGTTTTAAGATCCTTGGTGTGCCAACCGGACTGCAAAAGCCCAAAGAGAGGCCGCACACCGCACACCTTTTGCAGAACATCATGTGGGAAAATGAGCCAAGGTAGATGGAAAACAGCCCCATACGGATGATCCAACAGGGGGTCCCATCCATGGCTCCATGTTGCTTCCAGGGAGTGTAAAGACCCTGGGGATCCACTGCCACCTTCTCAGGTTCGGTACGACTGGACCCTCCTGGCACCTACATAAGTAGTCTCCAATCACCTTCTGACAAGGTACTTGAAGGTAGACATCTTTGGCAGTCCATTCCATTCATGCAAAATCAGGGTCTGAGCGTCTGACCCCTTGAGGATTCCTCCTGGAATCCAGAGGATTCCGGATTCCTTTAGAGGCCCGGACTTGACATGAAAGGGATGGAGCCACGGAATGTGACAAAGAAACTTTTGACATATATCTCTTGGCAATTCTCCAATCGGTGGCTTGACATGGACTTCTCCTAGGGACCTCGGGGTTTCTCGTCTGCAACAAACCAGGTACTTGGGCTGCATGTAGGGTAACAAAGGGCAACAGGAATTGCCGTATTGCTTGTGTTCAGCTTGCAGTTCACAAAGCTTAGCTGAGATTCAGGTACCTGCAGATCCATCCCTTCAACAATTGGCTGGACAAGGGCTTGGACATCAATCCTATGACAATTCAAAGCCTGACACCCATTTCTACCAAGCAAGACTCTTCTAGATAAATCGATAGCGGATCTTCAGCTCGATGTCTCGCAATGAAGGCAAATTGTCGT